TCTCATTACTACATAAATCAAGACGTGCTCCTTATTAAATATCAAATAATATTCTCAGCAGCAAAATAGCTATGTTTAAGAGAAAATACTCAACATGAACTCTCAACCTCACATTGTGATTCCACTGTATTTACACTGTACTGCACTGGCAAACACAGATAACTGAAAACAGCTTAAATGAAAGATACAGTCTAAGTAATGTAGAAAATAGAAAGTCGTGTACCTGTTTTTCTGGCCCTAGTGCAGGTGAATCTGTTTCTAAGCAGATAGATGTCAAAGGCAACTGTTTCACAAGTTTCTGCTTCTTAAAGAAAAGAGAAAGCTAGTTAGGTTTAAAAGCTGAGAACATGAGAACCTACATGCTAATGCATTTTATTCTGCAAGAAACTAAAATTCATGTTTCATATTCAATTGATTAATGCTATCCAGGTGCCTAACAGTTATGTTAAAATATAAGTACTCATTGCCAAAAATTATCCAAAGCTTCCAGGGAGTCAAAAAAATAACCATAGCAAAAATGAAGTACACCCAACAAGAAAGCCAAACACCTGACACCAAATGCCCACTGGAGGATCCAAGGAAGAGCTCTGTCATTTCCCTACCATTGGTTCACTCAGTTTCTTTCTACCATTCACTTTAAGTCACTCAAGGGTTTATGTATATAAATCTAAGGTTGTTTTGGACATCTCAGTTTTAGATCGGGTAGTGGATGCTTTTATTTCTTCTTTTATAATTCTTGAAGTATGGAGTTTAAGGACTGCAGTGAGCTCAATCAGTTTTATGCTAAAAATGCAATTGTTTTGCTGACACTGCACTTGAAAAAATGGGAAGGGGACACATGATGCACAGTGGGACATTGTTAAAATTTCTTAAGATTATATTTCAAAAGCACACAAATGAATACTCTCATGCACTGTTGATAACGGTGGAACTGCTACAAATTTCCCTGCAGGAAATATGACCATTTAGATCAGAATTTTAGAAATATATTCTCAGTGCCGGGCGTGGTGACACATGCCTGTAATCCCACACTCTGGGGGCTGAGGCAGGAGGATCTCCGCCAGTCCGAGGCCAGCCTGGGCTACACAGTGAGTTCAAGGCCTGCCTGAACTACATAGTGAGATGGTCTCGAAAACACACACACACACACACACACACACACACACACATACACACTCAGCTATTTCATTTATAGGAGACAACTGGTCAATTGTGCCTATGTGTTTGTGTGTGTTATAAACCTTGTTTATACCAGAAAAAAAGTGGAAAAACTCCAATCTTTTTTAAAGGTAATATTTAAATTATGGTACATCCACACTGTGATTCAGTAATCCCACTGCAGTTAATAACACGAGAGAAATGCAAATACATGTCCAAAGACCTCCATGGATATGTTTATGGTTGCTCTTTCCCTGATAGTCCCAAACCGGAAACAACCCAAATGTCCATCAGCTGGCGCGTGGGTAAATGACGGTACACCCATGTGTCTATTACCCAGCAATCAAAATTAAAAGGACTACTTATTCATGCAACAGCACACATAGGTCCAAAACCATTAAGTGAAAGAAACCAGATCACAAAGCACACAAAAAAGCTTTCATTTATACAATGTCCAAAAATGCAACACTAGGGGAAGAGGAATCAGAATGGTTGCCAGAGACAGGGAGGAAGGAGCGTATGGACTAGAAAGATGCATGGGCGGCTACAGGAATGACAGAAGTATTCTGCATCTGGGATGTGGTGGTGTTCACGGCAGTACACATTTGTCAGAACTCACAGAACTACACACCTATAAGGGGTGAGTCACCATGGATATGGTCTTCAACATATCTGCTTTTAAAAATTACAATTTAAAAACAACAACAAAAAAGATAAATGGTTGCTAACAAAGATGTTTTTAAAATCTTGACTGTTTCAGTTCTGCACTC